GTACCAAGCATTTGAGAAGATACACAAAGAGATGATTTACATTTTAGGAGAGATTTGTACAATTGTAGGTATCATCTATCTATTAATAAATCAACATTCCATTAGTGTGTTTGTGTGTGTATATTTGTGCATGCCAAGCACCTATTGGAGTAAGACCTTAATAAAGTATGTATATTAATATTTACTGAGTTTACCATAATCCAGGTACTATGCTACATGCTTACATGTGTTATCTTACCTATTTGCCACACTCTGTATGTAAACATTGTTATTACCTTTAATGAACAGATCAGAAAAATAAGGCTGGAAGAATTAAAGGTCAAATAGCTTATAAATGGCAGACCACGGACCTGGATTAAGTCTCTTAACCAGTAAGAATCAGAATTGTCCTGTTTGCTGCATTTCTTACAAAGAAATTTAAGTATATGACATCTTCTATATTTCTGTTCTCTGACACAATGAAAAGAAGGCTGAAGTTAGAGTAAATTAAACAGTATTTCTAACTGTTTTAGGTTACATAATCAAGAGACCACTGATAAAAATTAAAAGATCAAGGACTTAATCCAGAAACTGACTTGTGACAACTGTTCATGTGCATTTACTAAGATTTAAAATATGACCTTGTTGTGCCCTCTAGGAAAATGCTTTTGCAGTTAACCAGATCATCCCCTCTCCACTCTAGAAACACTGACACCTGAGCAACATTTATGCAGCCAAATATGTGCTCCCACCTGTCCTGTGACTGTTGGGAACTAGAAATGGAGTAGAAATGAGGATTCTCATATAAAAGATGAGAATTAAAGTCCTAAAACCATTAATGTAGTGGATGCCCTGTAAAGTCAAAGAACCTCCACAGTGTATCAAAAGAGCACTGGACCAGGAGCAATCAGTCATGAGTTCGAAAATAAGCTGTGTGACCTTAGGTTCCTCAATTAATCTCTCTGAGCTAGTTTCCCCATCTCTACAATGAAAATGATAATATCTACTTCACAGTGTTTTTGTAAGATTAGATAACCATACACTGTTATTACTAAATATAAGGCCAGTTTCTTCCAGTGTTCGTGTTAGGGGCTGACATGCTGGCTTCTGGCATGAATTGGCAATGTACTTTACAAAGGCATCATCGGTACCTTATCTCAAAAGTCTTCTGTTAAATACAGAGGAGTCAAGAGACCAAAATGTTTGAGGCTTCCTGCACTAAACCAGAATCCAGTTCTCAGGTTTCTGGAGTCTTGCCCAGAAACCCTCCAAACCATCTCCACCATGCCAGATGGGGACACGTTTTCTCATCTCTTTCTCGCCTTTTCTCCATTCTCAATTTAAAAGTGACTGCATTCCACATAAAACCCACAACAGCCCTCTGTTTTTTTTTCTGTTTCCTTTTAAATTTCTCCTTCTGTCCTTCAGAAGGTCCCCTACAAATTCCTCCAACATAGCAGACATGGGACCCGGCGCTAAAGGACTGTTAGCAGACAAGAGATCTAAATCATTTGGGATAGTTCCAAAGGCCACAGCTAGGACTGATGGAGAGGGCCTCACAGAAGGTTCCAGCTCTGCAGATGGAGCATGTTTGTAACAGCAGCTGCTTGCTGCCTATGGAGAAGCTTCTGAAACAAGAAGCTCCCCACTGAGAAAACTCAAGCAGAACATCTCACCCACTGCTGCCTGATTGATCCTCCTGATGTCAAATTATTTTACACAACACTTATCAAGTGCTTTCTATGTGCCAGGCATTAGGAATACAAGAGTAAGTGAGATGCAGTCATCAGCCCTCAAGGGCTCAAGTGGGGGAGACAGATACCTAAGCAGGTAATTGCAAAACAATATGTTAAGTGGAAAAATGGAGAAATTACAGGAGCACCTAAGGGGTGGACCTAAATCAAGAGGTGGATCTAAATCAGGTGGGGAATTATTTCCGGAGGAGGTGACACCTCAGTAGAATCTTAAAGGAGGGAGTCGGGTAGGAAGTGAAGGGCAAGATGGGGGCAGTGTAAAAAGATCATTTGGGGCGAAGGGAATCCGCATGTGCAAAATAAGACAGAACAGTCTGGTTTACGAGAGGAACATTGGGCAGCTGGATAATGCTAGAATATAAAATGAGAAGGTGTGGCATAGTGACAAACAAGGCTGGAGCTAGAGACAGCAGCCAGGCCATGGAGGGCCTTATAAACTGCATTCTGCAGTTTGAACTTTGTCCTGTAGGTGTTGGGCAGCCAACACCTTAGAATTTTAAGCACAAGAGTGATCCTTGACTTAAGAGATTTTTTCAAAGGGTAATTGTAAGATGGCCGGGAAACTTGTTGATTTGGGTTTTGGGATTCCCGTTTTCATTTTGGCCTTGCTTGCTTCTTTTTTTGTTGGCATTGCCTCATAAAAAGGTAATGTGGGCACAAGGCAACTCAGCATTACAAAGTGCTTGGAAGCAGCCAGGAGGACACACTGAGCCTGGAGCACCTTTCTGCAGTGGCTGCAAGGCGGGCCTCAGGGGTGGGGGTGAGGTTTGCTGCAGTGCCCTCTGGAGCCTCCTGCATCTTGTGCCTCTTCTTCCCTCCCTCCCTCCCTCCCTCCCTCCCTGCCTCCCTCCTAACACTCTCTGGCTCCTGGCTGACCTGACCTGAGGTTGGGCAGGTGGCTCTGGGGAGCCCATCCATCCTGCAGGGAAAGGTAGCCTGCAGTGCTCAGCCACGGTGTCCATTCTGCCCTCTCCAGCAGGCTGGGAACACTGGTCTCCTGTACTTTTCAGAACCACTGAACATCCCACCGCCAAAGCTGCCATTTGTAACTATTTCTCCCCTCCCTCCCCATCCTCTTTAATCTCCCCAGTCTTGTCCTTCACGACCCTACCCAGGGCCTCCACTGCCTATATGACTTGGTTCCCTCCACTTCTGTCTGCCAAATCATGCTCCTTCATGACTCATTCTTTCAATAGCTGCATACATGGCTCTGCCTCCCTAAGCCCGATGATCCTTCCCTTCCACCATTTCCCTTTATTCTGAGCGCTTGAGTAGGCTGTAATCTACACACTTGTATTAGGCCACCTGTTCCAACCACTCTCCATGCACTAACCCCGACCCTGCCATGCGTTTCTCACTCATGATGTTCTCTCTGCTTGAAACACCTTCTTCCTTCTTGTCTCCCTTCTGAACTCCACCTTATCTTTCCAGACACAGCACACATAAAAGCTCAGGTGCTGCCCCTAAGGCTTTCCTGATCACCTCAAAGACAGATTAAATCTCATAGGACTTTGTTTACCTTTATTAAGTTATGGGTGGTTTGCTTATGTCATGACAATAGCTAGTACTTATGTGTCAGGTGCCTCTCTGAGAACTTTATACACAGGAACTCATTAAATCCTCACAACCAGCCTATGCAATTATCTCCAAGTTTAAAGCTTAGTCAGTACAGGAACTGGGATTTGAACCCACACATCGTGGCTCTGATCAAATACTGTGCCACCTCTCCACCTAGCAAACTCCACCTGCAGACCAGGAAGCCTTTCAGTTCCAGAACTATACTCAGCTCTCCTGGTATCCTAAATGTCTGGCATACAGCAGGTGATTACTAAATGTGTTCTGAATTTAACTGAAATTTGTTTAGCATGCATTCCCAGGACTTCCTCGTGCATATGTTCTGTCTCCCAGAGCTGTTGATGAGATCATCAAGGGGAAAGGACCAGGTCATCTGTCCTCTTCACGGGCACACAATCACAATGCCAAATGAGGTGCGGAGGACATACTGCCAGCTCTAAGGGCGCAGCTGGGGTAAAACTAAGTTTAGACTAAAAGATGTCTTAAGTGTGTATGACTTACAAGTGTTTTCCCATGCCTGATCTCATAGGTCCTATGCCAACAGGTGAGGTAGGTGGAAGGATGTGGAGGAGATAAGGAAACTAGGTGCAGATTGCTTGGGCCCGGGCCAAGATCTCAGAGCTAGAAATATCTGAATGAGATTACAACCCGTGGGTTCTGAATGAAGCCCCGGTGTGGTCCTGGGCAGCTGTGGCCATCAGGAAAGGGAGGGCTAGGGGACAGCTCCTCCCTCAGCAGCCAGGGCAGGGGTGGGAGGCTGGGGAGAGTTCAAAGGGGAACCTGGGCAGGGTGTTCTAGAGGGGGTACCGACTGAGCAGGGGTGAGCCAGCATGTGTTAAGAGCAAGCCATCAGGTTCAGCAGGGCCTCTGGGGGCCTCCTGGAGTGTTTGGTCACTGTCACCAAATGGGACAGAACACCTTGACAGGTGACATGATTTCCAAGTGGTCTGGTAAGAGTCAGGAAAAGCTGGTATGTCCTTCCCATTTGTTGGAGGTGGTCATGGTTCCCTACTATTTGTAACCATCCCATTGCACTTCTAAAAATCCATATCTTTATTTTGCTTTTTTAACTCAACACGCCCTGAGATGGAATTTACTCAACGCTGTGCGCAGAGGGAAGGATTTCCCGGCTACAACGGGCAATGCAGAAGAGCAGCTGTCTCTACGAGAAAGGGCAATGAATTTCTAGCCAAAATGCCTGCCCTATCTTACCAAATGGGTGGTCTTCCGCAAGTCTCTTCAACCCCCTGGGCCTTGATCTCCTCGTCTGTAAAATGGGGATGAAAATGCCCACCTGCCCACCCCCAAATGAACGCTATGACTATGGCGTGCGCCCGCCCGCCAAGGCCTGCGAGCGCCCAGCCTAGGCTTTCTGCGGGTCCGAATGGTGTGGGTCTCTGCCTCACGCTCCTCACCATTCAAGAAAGCAAGGAGACATTGCAGATGTCTGCGCCGAAATGTAGCGAGAACCACCTCCCACAGGGGCCT